ATCACTTCCTGACCTTGGCTAGAAAAATTAAGTGCAGTATTACAGCAACTCCCTGCAGCTGCACTGGTGGCAGCAATGGTATCAGCACTAGTATAGCCAGGGTTCAGGCACCTTGCCCATCATGCATGACACAGTGGCCAAGAGGCCAGAAATGCCTGTGCCAGTGGCTTAACATTGCTGCAGCTGTACATTGCTGGTTGTTGCTGAAAAACAGTACACATATTAGGATAGAGGTACCGCTGGGTGCTCCTAAATGAACCTAGGTTTTTAATTTGCTCCCTCCCTATGCACAACATCTGAAACATGCTAGAGACAAACAGTTCTTTCCCATCAAGCTTTGCAGGTGCATTTCATTCCTATTCTCCCCAATGCTCTTGCTGGCTACCACCAGAAACAGGCAAAGCAACACTTACACTGAAACACCCTCAGAAACAACTGTGGAACTACATGATCTAACTCCTTGTCTTGGCCCAGCTGGCTTCTCTCCCCATGTTTTGTCATTATCATGCCAATGCCACCAAACCAACCTTACTTTCCACCTTATTTCTGTTTACACTTCGCAGACATCCTCTCACTGCTTACCCAATGGCCTGGGTTGGGAAGAATCCGGCATGAGAGCTAGGTGGACACGTCAGTCAGACAGTTCCATTACTTTCGCAGCAAACTGCTAATTTCTCCAATCAGCTTGTGTAAATGCTCAGTGTTTTAAACACTATACACGTTGGTCTGCAACACACTCTTCCCCAGGCGCCAAAACAGGCTCTGCATGCTAAGCAGAGAGATGCAGGTAGCACAGCTCTTAACATGATCCTGGTTTTCCCTTTGAAGGCCATAAGAGTACACATCCCAGTCACCCACCCACCAACTACATAAAACACAAAATTTTAAAACTGGGACTCAAATACGCCCTGCTCACGTTAATAACAGCACGACTGTGTTTGGGATCCATCACCAGTGAAAGGCCACTTCCCATTTGCACAAGGCAACAGGCCTTTGCCAGGTGGGAATTTGTGCCTGCCTGTAGGATTTGTGGACGGCTTAGCAACAGAGATATACTGCAAGAAAAAAAGCGGGCTCATGCGCACCAGCAGCAAACTGAGCCATGCACTGGATTCGCTAAATGAGTCAGTTTGTTATCAGATGAAGTTTTTGCTAATGCTGCTCTAGCAACACACGCTTCCCTCCCTAGCAAGGATTGGACTAGCTTGGCAAAGCCTGACATTCCAGTAGGGGGTGCTGGTCTGAGTCCAATAACTTCTCTTCCCTCTCATCTCCATCCCCGCCCCTGGCCTGACTTGCTATTTCACCATCACTTAACACACAGTCAAGCGGCCTGCACCCTATTTAGTGTATTATTGCTTTATAAAAGCAGAACTAGGTGCCCATCCCAAACGCTGGGCTCCCTGGCCTAATTTAATTTCATAAAGTTTAAAGGCTCCTTTTCCTAATGTGAAATAATTACCTACCAGTGGATAAAACACAACAAACCACAAAACAGCTCCAGCCTGAACTCCCCCACAGCTGGAGTTGGGGAATGGAGAGGAGGGGGAGAGGGAGAGGCAGACCTTGTACTGTGCCCTGAAGGTTAACAGATCTGGACTCTGGCAGGCTGGGGGAGCGTGAATTTAAAATTAGGCCTCCTCCCAGAGAGCCCCATACTAGCAAGTCCCTGCCCAGCTAGAGCAGTGGTTCTCAAACTTTTGTACTGGTGACCCCTCTCATATAGCAAGCCTCTGAGTGCGACCCTCTTTATCAGTTAAAAACACTTTTTAATATATTTAACACCATTATAAATGCTGGAGGCAAAGCGGGGTTTGGGGTGGAGGCTGACAGCTTGCGACCCCCCATGTAATAACCTCACGACCCCCTGAGGAGGTCCCTACCCCCAGTTTGAAAACCCCTGATCCAGAGGAAGGGGGTTTGGCTCACTGTGCTCTCAGCTGTGGCCCTATGGCGTGAAGAGAGAGGTGGTCTCTCAGACAGGACTTCACTGTGCCATCTGCACAATTTAGGCTGGGACAATCAGCCTTAGTGAATGGCTGGCCAGCTGTGCCCTGAGCTTTTTACAATGAGAGTCACCAATGCCAGCAGCTCTGCCTTAATGACTTTTCTGGTCTGGGGGTGGGTGAGTTCAATATTTATTCCTGCTTCAACTGCCTTGAAAGGGGACATACATGAGCTGTGATACATGGATTCAAGGATGGTACCTAGATTCTTGGTTACTGTAGTGGCTGCCATAAGTGCTTGTAGTGCGTTGTCCCCTGAAATGCTATTCTATCATTTCCTACATATCTGATTTGCTGTGAATATCACCACAAATATCCATAGGCATCCGATAGCAAGAGGACCTAGGGAGAAATTATTGTTCGTCTCTCCTTAGTGGCAGAAACATACAAATTGCTGAGCTACAACAGGGCTTTAGCCCTCTCTACAGAGAGACCAATAGGCCCTGCACTGAAAGTGCATACATAGAGCTATATTTTTTTCACACACACACACACACACACAGACACACACACACACTCACACACAGCTCTAAAGTTACACCAACAATGTGTGTGGATGTGCAAATAGGTAAAGGCTCAGGCAAACATACAAGGGAACATAAAATGGGTAACTGTGCAGTTACTTGTGTGTGCAAAAGCAAATTTTACTGGCATACCATAAGGGCTTTTTAGAAACATTTAGGCTTGGTCTACACTAAACCCCCAAATCGAACTAAGGTACGCAACTTCAGCTACGTGAATAACGTAGCTGAAGTTCGAAGTACCTTAGTTCAAACTTACCTCGGTCCACACGCGGCAGGCAGGCTCCCCCGTCGACTCCGCGGTACTCCTCTCATCTAGCTGGAGTACCGCAGTCGACGGCGAGCACTTCCTGGTTCGACTTATCGCGTCCAGACAAGACGCGATAAGTCGAACCCAGAACTTCGATTGCCAGCCGCCGAACTAGCGGCTGGGTGTAGACATACCCTTAGACTTAAAAATGGATGTGGACACTTGAAATGGAAGCCCTGGAACAATGAGACCACCAGGCCCATTAAGGATTTGTAAATGGAACTCTCCAGCCATTTTCTCCTTCACCGATGTCTAAATGGTAGTGGGTAGAGCAGCCCATTTCACCATGTGGAAACTGAACCATTTGACTATATATAATACAGTGACTGGCATTTGGGGCCGATCCTGAATGACTACCGTCTTGCTAAAAGTGGATTTTGGTCATCATTTGCAATGATCACTGTAAAAGACTAATTAAAATGTCTTTTTCTGGGGTTGAGTTCTGTGATGACCCTGCTCTGGTCCCTCTAGTAATTCCATTCTAACAGCATCTCTGGTCAGTTTTTAGGTACCCGCCTCCTGATTAAGCTGAACACCTACAATGGCTTTAATTTCAACCACTGCACTGGAGCAATGGAAACCCTCATGCAAAAAGGGTTTCAAAGAGATTTAATAATTAGAAGACAGAGTTTAGTATCTGCCCATGGTGAGAAGTGCTTTTCTACTCTGAAGCTTTCAAATAACTGGGCTGGGTCCAGTTCTCGTTGAAAAATAGCAGTTTTCTGATCAGTCTGGGACTCTGTGGTAGAGAAACCAACACAGAGGGCTTCACCAAGCTCCATGAAATCCATGCTGGTGGCCAGACAATTCATCCAACAGGCTTGGCTGCGGAACCAACCAACAAGACATGTTCGCTCCTGATGACCAAGGTAGCAGAATCTGTAGTCAGCCATCTACACTGGAGAGACACACTAAAGCCAAAGCACTCATGCAAGAAGGTGGCCAGTCACAATGAAAACTTTAGAGGAAAAGCTAATTGCCATATTAAATGTTAGGCCATAGTCAGCAAGCTTCAGTACTTGATGTCCCCACTCCGTCTCTGGTATATGCTGGCTCTCCTCACACACAGCTGCAGTCCCTTAACCTCTCTCCCCACATTTTATAACATGCCCCTTACTTGTAACACTATCAGCCTGCCCTAGAGACCCACCTAGAGAAGGGCACTAAACGATATTAACTATAAACAGAAAGTGCAAAAAAGTCATTGTACTGGAAAAAAGTCTGTAGTTTTTGCAGCCAAATTTCCAGGACAAGCATTAAAGCTGTAAAACAACGTGGCACATTCACACTAAATGATTTTATGCAATCAAGATGGTCACAGCTGATGTGGACGCAGTGCCATAAACATGCATTTACAAACATTAAATAGCCAGACCGCCCACCAAAACCTTTGCCTGGAGTATCTTTACTAAGCCCCTGTGCAATCAGGATGGGGGTTTATAGCTGATTTAGATTAGTGTAATTTTAAATTTATTCTGCCTGTTTCCAAGAAAAAAAAGGGCTATTTTCTTGTTAATAAAAGTGACATGATTTAAAACTATTTTAGCACAAATACAAATAGAAGTACCATGTACACCTTAAATATTTGTCCATTTGTTCAACGATTCTTTTCTGCCCCACTGGGATATTTGTTCTTTGGTGTGTGTCCTCCCAGGCTCCTATATTATTTCCCTTTAACTGGTTTATTACAGTGGCTCCTGCTAAAGACAACTGCACTTAGGGGTTCACTAGTGCAGTGGTTCTCAACCTGTGGTCCGTGAACTACGTCCAAGGGCTCTGCAAAAGACTTGGCCTGAAATCTGACTGAACAGAATTCAACATACATTCAGACAATAGATTTCCAAAGGGGTCTGCACCTCCATTTAAAATTTTGTAGGGGGTCTGCAAATGAAAAAAGGTTGAGAACCACTGCACTAATATGTCCATTATAACCTCAGAAGGGACTCAGGCTGACTGCAAGCTGAGGTTTACTATGGGAAGCCTTGGCCTAATGGAATTTTTTCCTCACAAAACTGACGTCTGACAAAGCTCCTTGGGGCAGGGACTATGTCTTCCTATGTGTTTGTACAGTGTCTAGCACAATGGAACAACCAGTCCTCACAGAATAGTACCCAGCGGTCACAGTCAGAAACTGGTTAACTTAAATATTTTTGTATTTGCCAGATATGAACAGGAGAGCCTTCCCCTACTCTTCACTGTCTATTAGGAGTCTCTGGAATCAGTAAATGCAAACTGGACTGTACCTAGCTGGCCTGAAACACCCCATCTTGCTAACAGGCATTGATTATATTGGGGAATGCACAGTGAGTTCTGCTAACTCACAGAGGTAGGTGGCTCATTACCCCACTGGATACAAGGGGAGAGGGAGTAGCTTTCTAGAAGAAGGCAATCTAGGGTATGGGCTGAGTAATGCAGCAGGAGGAACACTGAACAGCCAAGCATGGAGAGAAGTTTTGAGCTATGTATGTTATAGTTAATTTCTGTGGTAATAAAACAGAACCCTGTGAGGGGAGTGAGTTTGGACTCTATACCGTGTGTGGACTGTTTTTGTGAGCAGACTGGGAAAGATACCTGCTCACATAGACCAAACACCATTCTGTATTCATTCCCCTCTGCCCCCCACTTCCATTGAAGTGGTACAAGTATAGTGAGATCAGAGGGCTCTCTCTCCAGTGATAACTATCAGTTGGGAGCCTGAATTCCCAGTCCTACCAAGTAAAAACATGTCTAAATTACAGTGATGAATGACCTACTATTGCAAAAAGAGTACACATTTCAGAATATGCTCCATAATTATCTGAATACAACAAAACCTAGCTGGCATGGCTAACAGAAAAGCCATGCCAGCACCATCCAGTTTCTTGGATCAATGTATTCTTAACAATTAACTCTCTGATTCACCAGCTAGAGACTTAGGGCTTTGTCTATACACTGCCACAATGTGCACTAGAGGGGTGTGAATTCTAAAGCACACCAAAGGTGTTGTCCGCTAAGTGGCCTGCATGGGCCCTGCAGGCATGCACTCAAAGTACCCTAGTCCACCTTAACATAGTACTGCTTGTAATTATAAATAATTATTCCTTTCCATGGTGGTGCACTTTAGAATTCACTCTCCTCTACTGTGCATGGCTGCACCATGTAAACCAGCACTTAGCTTTAGCAGGGAACCGGATACAAATGCTGCAATACTTCTCATAGGACCCATCTGCATTACAGATTAAATAGTCAGGGGAACAGTCACATTATAGTGCAGACAATGCTTTACCTGTGTTCCATACCAGGCTAAAGCCCTGACTCAGCTGTACTGGTGGCATAGGTGGTCTCTTAAGGACTGTTACAGGCTAAGAATGCACACGTATGCGACTGCTGTTTTATACTCAAGGTAGGTTAATAACCACTTCTCTGCAATCTAACAGTCATTTCATTATTGGCCAATCACAGCGGCAGTAACTAATGTTCTACTGTGGCTACAAGAGAGTCAAAATGATTCGACAGACGCAATTTGCTTTGCTAATGTCATTGCTTGTCAGCGCTCCCTTTCCCCTCATGCCAAGCAGGGATTTGTCAATAGCCAGTAGACCTAAAGGGTGCTGCTAGCAGATGCAAAAGAAAAGCAGCTCATTTCAATGCACAAAAGAACTAGCAAATAGGCGAAGCTATAATACCGAGAGCCATCAGCCCCGATGCCAACTCTCTGATCTCATTTTGAGAGCTCTCTGCTCAGCCACCACAATAAGATACGTGCCTCTTCTGAAGTGGCTGTGAAACCCTCTTTAGGGACTGTCAGCTGCCGGGGGTGTGGATTGTAATGGGGTAATCTGTCCCATCTAATTAGATACTAACCGTACAAGCCACACTTTGAAAAACTCTGAGACACTAGGGAAGATACCAGAGAAACCAGTAAAAGATTCAAAAGGAGAAAGCTTGTTTCTCCAAAAATATAAATATTTAACTATTTTGGAAGAGAAAAATACAATTTAGAAATTTCTTTTTTTAATCCATAATCCATTCTCTTCCCCACCCAGTCTCAAAGGTTTCAAGGTTCAAATTCCTAAGAGATTCCCCAACGCTGGGTCTCAAGTCAGAAATATGGATGTAAATAAGACATCTAAGAACTGCTCAGAATCATCCCCTACAAGTGCCCTTCTGCTGCCAAGATGTGTCATCTAGCAAGCTGTAGTTCGTGACCAGATTAAAACTAAAGTTCGATTAGACTACTTCAGCCCAACTTAATATTGAAAGGTTTATACATCCCTAATGATAGCTGGAGTAAGAAAAATTCTGCTTTCTTCACCCAAAGCTTCTTTTCTCCCCACCATAACGTATTTATCCATTGCAACCATTCCCAGGGCATACAAGATACCAAAGCGCTGGATGGTGATATTGATGATACAGCCGAATCACAGACTGACTGACTTTTATGAACAAGAACAAAATAAATTAAAGGAAACAGTAGTAACTTCTTCACAGTTTGGAGGAGGAGAACACAGCAAGAAACCTGAAATCTTAGAATCCCCAGGAATAGGAAGTAAAATAAAGCAATGAAGATTCTGGCTAGGAATATTTTGAGTTTACATCAGAAGTTAAGACTGAAGATTCACGCCAGAAGCAGAGATCTTACCTGCCATGGAGAAATGGTACAAAGCACATCAGACTCTTTTCTGTCAATGGGCCAAATTCTGGTCCCATCAAAGTCAATGGCAAGATTTCCAGTGACTTCAATGGGACCAGATTCAGCACAATTACACTAAAACAATAGGTCCCAGCCATTCTCCCTCAGTAATATTCAGGGATAAGAAGATTCTTGTGAAGCTAATTCAAGCCTTGGTATGGAAGACATACATTCCCAGTCAGACTCCCACTCAACCATGCAAATTTCACTGCCTAGTCCTCTAGATCAGAGATTGCCAAACATTTTTGCTGAGTCCCCCTTTGTCGATTCATGTCCCATGCTCATCCCTCCATAACTGTGAGGAGGGAGAGTATCAGGGAAGAGGGGGGCTCAGTAGTCACAGGGGAACTGGGGTGGCTGGCTCCCATGGGGGGGCTGGAGGAGGCCCTGCTGGGCGGAGCAGGGTATCATTATTGCCAGGGTGCAGCCTTTTGCTCCCTGCTCGCAGAATCCCTGCCGGCCTCCACAGCAGAGGAGGGTAACTGCTGGCTGCTGCAGTGGAGGAGCGAGATGGGCAGGGAGCCTGGTCTTGGCTGCACAGAGCCCCAAATGCTTCCCCTGCTGAACAGACCCCCGCCCCCGCCCCTGGCCTTTGAGCATGGCCCCATCATGTCCTCGCACCCCCATTAATCTTATGGTGTCCCTCCCTGGGGGACATGCCTCACAGTTTGGGAAACTTTGCTCTAGACCGTCTGTCCTTTTCTAGCTAACATCTGTAATACTTCAAATCCACCTTCCCAAACTCCAGGCTCTGTATCTCCCATTATGCTTGTCAAAAAGCTACATTTTCAAAGACAGCCTTTTTAGTATGCACTTTGTTGCTCATTCATGTGCAACAATGTGCCAAGGTAACTAGAGATGGGAGGACTCTTCTGTCCAAAATCTATCACCCACTTGAAATGGGTTGTTCCCCCTCCCGCCCCAGATTTACAACAATTTGAGGTTCCAGTTCCCCTGGCTGTGGCACAACATGAGCTCTGGACTGCTGCCTTTTTAAAACCAACATATTCTATTCCCCAAACAGCCCTAAAAGGCCTGACACGGATTGTGTTCAAACAACAGCCTGTAGTGTTTGCATAGTACTAGCTTCCATTTGGTTACAAATATATATATATTTTTTATATAAAAATTTCCCTTGAATGACAATGGCTTAAATAATAAACATTTTTTGCTAGCTCTAGAGTCTTCCCTTGATGATCTTAAAGCGCTTTACAACCATCAATGAGTTATGCCTCACATCATGTATTCCACCCCAATGAGTATCATTATTTCCATTTCAATGAAGGGAAACTCAGGCACAGAGACTTGCCCAACAACACATAGCCCATCAGTAGCAGAGCTGTTCAAAGAGCCCAGATTTTCTGACTTCAGATCCCAAGCATTAGCCACTATAGATCATCCTCTCATGAAAGAGAGAATTAAGGGAAATATTTTTCTCTGACAAACTTGAATTACACAAAACCCCAAACTAAAAGCACAAACAATTTGAGGTTCCACAAAGCAGCATTCCTTTGGCTTCTCCTATCCCCAAAATATTTCCGCAAGAGCAAGCAAAGCAGTTAGCAGCCCTGAAAATGGAAATCATCTGCGTGTTCTAATCACACCTCTAAATTAGTCAGGCACCATTGTGTGCAAAACAGCAGATTTTTATAAAGTTTAACTAATAGGTTTTCTGGGTGCTAATTTTTGCTGTTAATTAAAATGCATGACTCAAAGTATCCATCTTATGGGCTAATTTGCGCTAAGTAAACTGCATCTTCCAGATCATTTTCATTTGTTCATCAGCTTCTGCAGTGGCACATAAAAGTTAAGGCCCAAATCCTCCAAATGGATCTGTATGGACAAATCCCGATTAAAGTCAAAGGGGTTCCACACAAGTGTAAGGGTCTGTTCTCTTAGTTCATTTGCAGGATTGGGGCCACATTTTTAAATGAATTTATTACTGGTGAAAGTTGTGGCACTGACAGCACTGGAAAGTGAGGTCATGTGGGTGTCACAGGATAGATACAGAACAGGCAGTAGGAGAGAGCTTTTCACAGTCAATTTGTTTCAACCCTGGTCTGGAAGGACCATATGTGGGGTTACACATATCCTGGCTCTATGCTCATTCAATCCATGGTCTCTCTGCTAAGACTTTCGGAAAGACTGCCAATTAGTTCCAAAAGGAATTTCCTGCACTGAATAACTGTCAGATGGTAACAAAGTTTAGTCACTACCCGTCTTAGTGGGATTTAAACTAGTGATCTAGAAGTGAAATTATCCATATTCCATTTCTATTTCATCATCCAGGCCTTTGAAAACTGAATTCTACGGAAGGTGACTTGAAAAATTTACCAACGACCTGACTAGCCAGAGGACTAAACATACTGATCAGAGTATGAAAAATGATCAGTGGGTGCCCAACAGGGAACTCCATGGGCAATAACCTGATGAGAAGCCCAGAGACTGATACGAAAGATAAGTAGGGGCTGCCCCCCTAGCTCAACTGCTTGAATTCTTATCAGGTTGCTATCCCTGGATACTGGTAGAAGGCTCTATCTTTGTATCAGCCTCTGGCTAGAGATACAAATAAATGTTGTACAGCCATCCACCCTTCTCTAGCAGTCTGTGGGAAAAGAGAAGCAGCTCTCTTTTCCCTTCCTGCAACCCCAGAGCCTCCTGGCTACTGGAAGAGTGTGGGGAAGAGTTTGCCCTTCCCCAGCCTTCTGGCAAGGAGGACCAAAAGGAGGAGCTTTAGCTTTCCTGAAAAGCAGCAGCACAATATTGAGACGATTCTTGTTTTTTCCACAGCTATTCACAGAAAACCCAGTGGCAGCAGCGAAACTGCCCAGAGTGGCATTAATTTCACACTGCTGCTACTCTGCAAAGCTATGGCCAGCAGTGAAGGGACCAAAGCTTTCTGCAGACTCAGGAAAACGCCTGCATCGGTTCACATTTGGAAGGTTATCTTTGCAACCGTCAAGAACTAGAAACTTATTTTTTTTCCATTACAGAAAAACAATATTCTGCAGAAATTTATGATCCATGTTCCTCTCTTGCCAGGGGCACGTAGGCAAGTGGACTTTTAAGCCCTGGTTCTGAAGCTCTAACAGAAATGTTAATTACAGAAGTATTAATATATTGTACGACAGAGCTCTTCTCTATACATCCCCCTTTAAATCATGGTTGAAATCACAGTTTGGCAAAGGTGAAGAGTTGCAGTTACACACTGAAATGCAAAGCCAGATCCCCAGCCAATCCAGGATATGTCTATACTAGAAAAATATTTCCCTTTTTTTCCCAACATCAATGGAGCTGCAACAAAGGTATGATTGCCAATGTACAACGGCCTAAAGTTTTTATCACTGTGTCATGAAAAGCTGCTCAAAGCAGCTGCACCCTTGCTGAAAAATGAGTAGTTTTTCTATTGTAGGCAAGACACCAGTCATTTCTATTCTCCCATCTTGGCCTCATTTTCACTAGAAAACTGAACCATTAGTGATGATAATTTCAGAAACAGCCCCTTCTGAACTGGTTCTCAAATTGCTAGCATAGATAGCTTTCAGCATTGTTAGAGAAAGCACTAGAGACACCAGGATCTCCACACACACAAATACACACACATACACATTCAGTAAATGTACAGAAAGAGTATTAATGATCCCCACTTCCATACTTTACACCTACCCTAGCTACAAGCTATAAACTTCACCTCAACGAGGCCTGGGCAAGAATATTGGCTCTTTCACATGCAATCAGAAATGGTTGTTTGTACAACGGCAAGTGCTGCACACATACAAAAAATTCTTTCACAAGCTTTATTATTGTTTATTTTTTAGACTAGCCTAGGCTAATAATAAAAAACAATTTCATGGCTCTTGCCAGGCCAATTAAGAGGAGCGAATCAGCAAGCAAGGAGGTGCTGATATGATCCTAGATTACTGGGATCGCCTCTGTTCACAGTATCAATACAGTAAAAACCTGTTCAAGAAACTCACAGCCATGCCATACGAACAAGGCATTCACTATTTCATTTCAGCCCTTCATCGCTTAATCTCGATGGATTTGTTGCCATCGGCTTCGGAGAAATTTTGCTTGTATAGCAGTTACTGCACCTTCACCCTTCTCTTCACAGCAAGCTCAGCAGGGAAACTTTCCCACTATATATGTATATAAATAATTTTATGTTTTACAGTTGGTAGTATTTTAAAAGTTCTATTTTAAACACTTAAAAGTTTGTAGGTAACTAAAAGTATTTTCTGATGCTCTCTAGTGTGAACAGGATAGTTTGGATTTTTTTTGGTAAGTTCAAAAGCTATGACTAAAGCAGCATATTCTGTGCATCCCATATCCCCTCTTGCCTTGATTCTGGAGAAATCCACACTAACAACCACCTCTCTCCTTTCTTCTGTGGCCACTTTCAAACACGCTTAAATTTTCCGGTCCTATTTTGTTTGACCTTCACTAGATCGTTGACTTTTGATGGTCCTGGGGGTGACTGCTTAGAACAGCTTTCACTGTTTTATTCTGCCACTTGACAGGAGGTACGGCATCAATGTCTATGTTTTAAATACAGTAGAACCTCAGAGTTATGAACACCTCAGGAATGGAGGCTCTTCGTAACTCTGAAATTTTCATAACTCTGAACAAAAAATTATGGCTGTTCTTTCAGAAGTTTACAACTGAACATTGACTTAATATAGCTTTGAAACTCTACTAGGCAGAAAAAAAATGCTGCTTTCCCTTTATTATTTTAGTAGTTTACATTTACCACAGTACTGTATTTGCTTTTACTTTTGTCTTTGCTGCTGCTTGATTGCGTACGTCTGGTTCCAAATTAGGTGTGTGGTTGACTGATCAATTCGTAACTCTGGTGTTCATAACTCTGATGTTCTACTGTAATCAACAGAACTGTACTCTGCAACTATCCTACCTCAGAACATCCCCAAAGCTTCCCTCTGAGAGAGCATCCTCATTGCAGTCTATCATGGCACCACCGGATTCAAACTGCCTATTCCAATTCGCCTCCCCTAAATTGCACACACAGAACCACACTACCACAGCCTTCGCTAGCTGGGAAAGAGGTGGAGAAGGCAGCGTGACCCTTATATTACACAGAAGGAGAGTGGATAATAATACTTTGCCCTTCTAAAGATTCTTCCATCCAAGCATACTGTGAGGTAGGGAAGTATTATTATCCCCATTTTACAGATAGGGAAACTGGCACAGGAAGGTTTGATTTGCCCAAGGTTACACTGTAAGGTACATCTACACAGTAAAACACAAAATTCTGTGGCAAGAAGTCTCAGAGCCTGGGTCAATTGACTTGGGCTTGTGTTGTGGGGCTAAAAACAGCAGTGTAGATGTTCGGGTTTGGGCTGGAGCCTGGGCTCCAAGACTCTCCCTCTCTGCCAGGTTTCAGAGCCCAGGCTCCAGCCTGAGCCCAAATGTCTACATTGCTATTTTTTAGCTCTGCAGCATGAGCCCTGCTAGCCTGAGTCAACTGACCAGGCTCTGAGACTCACTGCCACAGGTCTTTTTTTGGTATGTAGATGTACCCCAAGTCACTAGGAGGGAAAGGAATAAAACAGAGGTCTCCTGTCCACCAATTCTGTGCTAATGTTTACACTGTTTTTCAGACGCCTCCTTGCTCCTCCCACCAGCCTGATGTTCATCCTCCCACTTCACACACTATGTTCCCTCGGAAGACAGGCTTCCTTCAGACACGCAGCGTCCCCTAATTCCAAGCTCCAAAAGCAGTAGGACCAGTAGTTCATTCCTATTTGCACTTACATACAACCCAGCACCAAAGCCAAAGCCAACTCTTAAACTATTGCATATTTTTAAAGACTTTTTAAAAGGGCATCAAGACATCTGCTCTTTTGAATTTGCACCTATGGACCTGCACTTTTTTATTTATAAACACATACGCACGTACAAACATGTCTGAGACATGATGCAGGCATGTCTCTCTGGGTTTGGTACACTTACCCTTAACTTCAGAGCTACTTGGAATATAACATGTGCAAGGGACAGAGTTACGATTACTGTAGGAGCAGCAACTTTGAATTTCCTGAACCACTATGAGGAGTTAATGTCGGTTTTTTTGCATTTGATTTATATAAACTTATCAAACTAATACATGGAGACAGAGTTAAAAACAACAACCCATGATAATTTCACTGGGATTGGACTGTTTCGATATATAGTATTGCTGTTATGTAAGACCAAGTGCAGGGGACGCCAAAGATGACTTAGGTAGCCAGCCTCTCGTTTGTTAATTCATCCAGACAAGAAACCTCTTCCTAACTCTTGGCAACATGTGAAGCACTGCAGTGTGCAGAAACCGGTCAGGAAGTTGGAATGCTCTGTGCTATTAATACTAGCACCAACAAGCGCACCCTGTCCCAAATCCCCTCCCCAAAAAATGTAGACGAGTCTAATGCAAACCTCACAGCTGCTAATTTTACTTTCAGTAGCCTAAGCGCTTCAGATTTTGCTGACCTCTAGAATACTGCTCAAAGGTTGCTGCCTGCTTTTAACAAGCGGGCAGAATGCCATACGCCTGGAAAGGGCAAGCAGAAAGCCCTAAAATAATGGTTTAATTAAAATTTTAAAAGAGACACACCAAAATAAGACAGGATAAATACACTCAGGCAGGGCAAGATCCACCAGGAGAGTGAGATTTCTTTAACATGACAACTACCTGGGAAAAGGGGAGGGTAAGTGTTCCTTGCCCCTGCTACCTCATGTGATGGACCAGCAGCTGTTGCGAAGACAGACACCTGTGCACTGCACTCACTGAATTAGGGCCATTACAGCCAACACCACCACAGAGACCGAGGTGCTGAGCCAAAATGCGGTCAAGAAATAAAACGACTGCTTCTCCTGGATCGCTATTGAATATATTAAAAACATTAAAAAATCCCGTCGATCCCTGAATCGGAAGTCGATTGACCCAGTTTTGTTTTTTCCCAAGGAGATGAGGAAAAGGGGGAAAGCTTTTAGCACTTTGTTTTTGTTAATCTTCTGTTTTGGCAACATCCCGTCCGGTGGTGGCATTGCACTGATACCAGTACCAGCCCGCCGTCTCGGTGCTGACTGCTTACAGCCAAACGGGAAGAGGGTCCTCCCCCACAGCCCGTTTCAATCTGGCCCGGTGGTAGACACAGATCCCTGTGCCGTTTCCCCTGCCACAACAGCTTCCTCCTGCGGGGGAGACTCTTCCTCCGCCTGCCCCCTGGAGGTGACGGTGGTCTCGGGGGAAATGCTGTGCGGCCCCTCCAGAGGCACACAGCCAGGGTGGTTTTTGCGAAAGTGTTGGTTGAGGATAGCCTGGAAGGGGAAGCTCTTGCCGCAAACGTGGCAATGAAAGGGCTTGTTGCCTGTGTGCTTGCGGATGTGGTACTCCAGCTGATCCTTGCGGGTGTACTTTTTACCGCACATGCGGCAGACGAAGGGCGTGATGCCCATGTGGAGACGCATGTGCCGGTCTAGACTGCCTTTCTGGTTGAAGGATTTGGCACAGTAGATGCAGGTGAGCCGCGGGTTGTACCGGAACCACCGCTCAGACACTTCCTGTTCACGGAGATACTCAACATAACCGCTCACTCCAATCATGGCAGACTCCTCCACCTGGGCCAGACACATTGAAGACAGAAAAAGGAAGACAGTCAGCTAGAAAGAAACAGGATCTTTTTAATTCTCTCCTGAGCACCGATCCAGTCAGACACTTAAGTAAGTGCCAAACCTTGAAGTCAATAGGACTACTCACATGCTCAGCCTTAAGTACACACTTAAGTGCTTAGCTCAATGGGGCTTTCGGTCTGAGGACTAATAGATCATCAGCTAAAAGGCACTGCTATAGGTCCTAACTTGTTCCCTGGGATCTGGGAAGATAAATATGGCTATCATCAGTATGGCACTTAGCTGAATCGAGTTTTGGATCAAATGTAGCAATGCTGCGTTCACTACCCGAGAACCTGGACCAGTGCCCTTTTATTAAAATATTGGTGGTTCCCTTTTCAATATTACTTGTAAAAAGAAAAGTAAGTGAATGGACAGAGATTTTGTATGATGAAGGCAAAGTAAGTGTATGAAAATTACATCTGAAGAGCTCTAGGTACTTCACAGGCAATGAATTATATCTCACGAATGGGTCATGAAGTCATTATTACCCCACTTTACAGATGGGAACCTCAGGCAGAGAGGGTTTAAATGACTCGCTCAAGGTTACAAAGCAGGGAACAGCATGCAGATCTCCTAATTCCCCCATTATCTGATTAAGCTATAAAGAAGGGTAGCCAAGGGTGGCTCTTTAACCACAAGCTTGGAAGCTAGGACAACCATGCACATTGCATAAGTTCAGTATGAGTGTGGTAGCTGGCCAGGAATAGCAAATACATGGTCTCTTGGATACCTGCACTCTTGCCTGCAGGTTGGGAGGATACAGCACTTGCATTTGAAGTGTTACACCAGTTTCATAAAATGCCAAACCCCCAGACAGGTAGCCCATGTAACCCCGGAAGGGCCGTCCCTTCAGTGGGTAAGCATGGAGCATGTGACAGCAGGAGCATTCCAATGCCAGGTGCCTCGCCATTCAATCATGCTTAGAATAGAAAGCTGCTTGGGATTAAATGAAAGGAACAAAACCACAGCACATTACATGAAAGTGCTGCCCACAGGTACTCTATTTATAGGCAAGCTTTATGGCACCCGCCATACCAAGCCTAGTGGAGCAGGGTGATGTGACACTTGAGCATTGGCGTGGCTAGAAGTGCACAATTCCAACCAGTCTTTTCAAATGGAGTTTAAGGCTATTTCTGTATGGAGAAGTAGTAGCCTTTTCATACTTAGGGTAGCAACCACTTTCCATGATAAAGTCCTGTCTGTCCTGCCCTATATGTTTAGCTTGATCTGAACATTTCTGGATTTCTTCCGAAGGCACAGTAGGATGTTTTTGCAAAGTATGATGAAAACTCAAGGTATTTTTAATCTTATGGCACATTACAAACCTATCAATTTGAATTTTTGACTTTTGTCTAACTTTCCTTGGTCTCCCCTCTAGCTTACAATGGCCTGTTACTAACCTTCAAACTTCCCATAAAGTTAAGTCTCCTTGAAAACTCAGGCACCTGCTCTATGTGAAAAAAACAGTTTGTTATAAAGCTATTAACAATGGACAGTCTGGGGCCCAATCCTACTCCCATTGACAGTTATGGACTCAATCCAGCACCATTAACGTCAAAGGGTATTTTCTATCATTGACCTCAATGGGATCAGGAGCAGTCACTTTGGGCCTGGATTTCAGAGATGTGGAGTGCCCACAGCTGGACTTCAGCTGGAGTCCTGGGTCCTATGCCTGAGAGAGAGAAAGAGAGAAGTGGCGGCCAACTTTATTGGCCAACTACAGCTTAGTAGGAACACAAGAGTCCTTCTACAGATGATATCTTACAGAGCTCTGCCTTTGGCTCAAGCAGTAGATGCAAAGTTTTTTAAAGCTGTAGTCCTGGCTCTGTAGCTGTGCATGGTTTAATCTGGAGAGGTGGTAGCCTCCCATTGTTAAGGTTGATTTTAATTCGCCATTATAACAACAACAACAAAATCCTCATGCTTTCCAGGTTTATGGACCAGTGACAGGCAAAGTATGTGCTAAACATTTACTACATTGAGTACGTACATTCAGAAAGTAAAAGCCTTTAATATGGCTGCTTTTTGACATCTTTGCAAAATGTCTTTTTCCTTGTATTCCTCTATCCCTCAAAGACATGTTTTTAAATGATCATAGGTGCACTTTTACCACCCCATCAAGGGCATCAGTGAAGACAGAACCCAGAACAATCAGCACAAGCTCCTAACACCTGAACTATTCAAGTTAGCTGGAAGCCAACAGACAGCTTTTATCTTCTATGACTCTAGCTATCTGAGGGCATTTTTAGGGGGAAAAAATCCCTCCAGAACTACTATCAACACAGCTGCAACCATGTCAGCATCAGCAGGAGTTTGTGTAAACATGGTTTGGCGGTCTTCTTGTTCTTTTAACCAAAGGGTGAGTTACCTCTTACGTCATTTATAAAACCCAAGCACTTAAAAAGCAAGGGAATAAATAGCAAAGGTCATCCTAAATCTTACGTTGCCACAGACACATACAGCATTTCTATCAAGTATAACATGCATATGCAGTCACAATGCAGTAACTGTAACTATCCAACACCATCATTCACTGGTGATCCAAACCCCTGAGCTAGGTTGTGTACCTGGGAATTGGGCTGCTTAGGCTCATCCATCCGCCCGGGAGACTCACTTTTCGATCTGTACCGCTCAGTTACAGTAACCATGCTGCCCGAAGGGCTAAATCTGTGGGGGGAAGAGTGTAAATAGAATTTTTAATGGCTATTGATGCAGTATGTTCAGTACATGTACTGGGGGGCAAGGGGAGCACCTGCAGAGAATCTCTCCTTCCCCATCAGGAGACAGAATGTGGAGCAGTGCAAATGTAAAAAACACCAGGACAGACTGGTCTGTGCTTTCAGTGTTAATATCTGAAATATGAAACTGGGTCAATCAACTTGATTCAGGAATAGACAGATTTTTGGTTGCTACTAAAATAAAAAGGGAAATGAGATAGCCCACTGACTCAGGCAGCACTGCAAAAGAAACCTCTGTTCAAAAGGCACCTCCAGTCTTCCAACTCCCTGGGCAAGTATAGCTGAGGGATGTTTCACGGATGATGCAGATGGCTCCAGGGAAGGAGCGGTGGAAGTTGTGTGTGGTGAAAAACGATGGATACCCAAGTGTCTAAGGCCAGCTGATCTAAGGAGAGGAATGAACAGAATCACAGAAATTAAAAATGAGACCTGTCTAGAGCTAGTTTGTTCCCCTGAAGACCAGCCCAGGATCGTTACCTCCAGTATAGTTTACAGAGCTTGTATAGTTTTAAATGATGGGGTATCCACCATTTCAAGGAAGCTGCTCTCCCAGAGGACTGGAGGGTTTGGGATGGGAGAGAAGAGAAGGAATGGTGAGGAAAAGCACCACAAATACAGCCGGAACCTTTTGCTTTAATCAGAACAAATGAAGTAGAGGGATAGGAAGTCGACAACACAAATATAATCACCTCTTATAAATGAAGGCCTTCTGCTCTTACCAGAGAAACTGTCACATCAGGAAAGAACAGTGGTTCATCCAATCCTGTGTTCTCTTTCTCAAAGTGGCCAAATGATGGCTGCTTCAGAGGAAGATTTAACATCCCCCACAACACAGTGAATTCTGCAATCCTGTACCATGGGGAGGCAGATTTCCTCCTTACAGCTGGTGACCAGCTTGTTTCTGAAGGAGAATGGTTGATACCCTTATGATTTTACCCTATCTAGCCTGTAACTGGAGACACTGTTCTTATTCACCACACTGCAAATACTTGAAGACTAGTAACAGATATACTTTTAAAGAAAATCTTTCAGCACATATGCCTAAGAATAGTGTGTGAAATAAACAGTGATAGATGATCAGGGAAGACACATGGTCAAGCCAGATACAAATATTGTGGAGTCTGCTCTTCCAACCACACTCAGTAAATGGGTTAAAGGAACCTCACCTGTCAATCTCACTGCTGGTTGGCCTAACCACTTTGGCTCCTGATGACCCTAATGTGTAAGTCTCCTGGCCCATCGATCCGTGGCCTGTTGTGTCAATTACCATGGTCGTGACCTCCTCAGCGCTGCTCCCATCTTCTCCCGATGGCTGATTCTCTGTTCCCAGCCACTCCTCCAGGTTCTCTGTTTTAATGCGCACTCCTCCAAGCACCCTAACATCATCGTCATTCCGTCCCCCACGGTCTGCCACTCCTGTCTCAACGTACCACTGTCCTGCTCTGTTAATCCGCAGTATGGGCTCCCTGCTCTCTACATCTGAACTCTGCTCAATTATCTGAGGGCTGGTGGACTCCTCAGGGGGGCTCAGCTCCCGAATGTCCAGCACAGTGCTGACCTGGCCTAGACGACTCCCTTTTGGAGTGTTGTGGCGCGGGCTCAGAGAGCGGTTTAGATTTGGGGTAACCCGGTGAGACTCTGGGGGTCTCTCCTGATGCTTTGTTCTAGTCTGGCTCGGTTCAGCTTCAACCTCTGCCACGTTAATTTTGAAGTGAATTCCCTCGAGGATCTGCGTGCATTTGTCTATAATGTGCTGCATCTGCAGGAAGCTGGCTGCTGTTAGGTAACTGATGATGTCAGCCAACTGCAGGCATATCCGCCCGGTATAACAAAAGGAAAGGAGCTGCTCAAAAACAGTGGGGTTCTTAATGACTGAAATGGAGACCGTGCTCATCTCGTTCAATGACATATGGTCACGGAAGTAGGGTGAGCTAGCAGCCAGCACCACTTTGTGAGCACGGAAAGCTTGTCCTTGCACGTTGACCACTATGTCACACAGGCGGCCCTGCATGCGCAGCTGGTTGAGGTGGCTCAGGACAGAGTTGCTGAAGTCAGGGATCTCCAGCTGAATGTTTCCACTTTTCTCCATGGCTGCCCCAGTTGTAGGAGTACAACCCAGCTGGAAAGAAAAACAGGATTAATTGGACTAGTGATAATTTGCACTTGGAGCACCTTTCACCCATGGATCTTGGGGGTGACTTGATTACAATGTATAAATACCTACATGGGGAACAAATATTTAATAATGGGCTCTTCAACCTACCAGAGAAACGTATGACATGATCCAACGGCTGGAAGTTAAAGACAGACAAATTCAGATTGAAAATAAGGTGTACATTTTTAACAGTGAGGGTAATTGCCCATTTACCCAGGGTCATGGTGGATTCTCTATCACTGCCAATTTTTAAATCAAGATTGGATGCTTTTGTAAAAGCTCTGCTCTAGGAATTATGTTGGGTAAATTCTCTGGCTGGGGTTATGCAGGAGGTCAGACTAGATAATCAGCGGTTCTGAAACTGTGGGTTGGGACCCCAAAGTGGGTCAGGATCCCTTTTTAATGGGGTCACCAGGGCTGGCATTAGACTTGCTGGGGCCTGGGGACGAAGCCTGAGCCCTGCCACCCAGGGCCAGAGCTGAAGCCTGAGAGCAGGGATGGCCAAACTTTGGCTCGGGAGCCACATGCGGCTCCTCAGAAGTTAATATGCAGCTCCTTGTATAGGCACCGACTCCAGGACTGGAGCTACAGGTGCCAACTTTCCAATGTGCTGGGGGGTGCTCACTGCTGAATCCCGGCTCTGCCACAGGCCCTGCCCCACTCCACCCCTTCCCGTCCCCTCCACTGAGCCTGCCATGCCCTCGCTCCTCCCCCTCCCCCCCAGAGCCTCCTGCATGCCACAAAACAGCTGATCGGGAGGTGTGGGGAGGAAGAGAGGGAGAAGCGCTGATCAGCGGAGCTGCCCATGGGCAGGAGGTGCTGGGAGCCGGGGGTGGGGGAACTGATGCAGGGCTGTTGACGTATTACTGTGGCTCTTTGGCAATGTACATTGGTAAATTCTGGCTCCTTCTCGGGCTCAGGTTGGCCACCCCTGCCTGAGAGCTTCAGCTGGGTGGCGGGGCTCAGGTTACTGGCTCCCTGCCTGGGCTGAAGCCCTTGGGCTTTGGCCCCCCCTCCAGAGCGGCAGGGCTAGGGCGGGCTCAGGCTTCGGTCCCCCCTCCTGGGGGTCACGTAGTAATTTTTGTTGTCAGAAGGGGGTCGTGTTGCAATGAAGTTTGAAAACCCCTGGACTAGATGATCACAACGGTCCCTTCTGGCCTTGTAATCTATGAATCTTGAAGCACTTTGATTTTCCCAGAGGTGTTGTGAAGCTTGATTTACTAATGCTTGCACTGGGTCTCAGCTTTTGCATTCTGTGGATCACTTTATAAGAGAATTAATCCTCTTATGGACCCACCTCCACAACTCCCGCTGCTTAGCTCTCAAAAGTTCACTTTGTGGGCCTCCAAATTGAGCTCAGTAGAAGTGATTTTTCCTGGCTTGGAAAACATTACAAATGATTGAGACACTAATATATGTAATTGATTGCCTAATGGATGATGATAATACTTACCACTTATACATTATTTTAATCTATAGATATCAAAGGACTTTACAAAGAAGAGCAAGTATCATTATACCCATGTTTTACAGAAGGGGAAACAAAGGTGGAAAGTTGAGGCCTAAATTTCCATATGTCCACTAACTTTGGTTGCCCAGCTTCCAAGAACTTTTCAGAGGGGCTCAACCCGTGTAACTTCATTTGAACTAAATGAAAACATGGTCCTAGGTGTCTCCGGTAGGGCACTCAAAATGGAGGCTCTCAGTATTAGTAGACACTTCTGAAACTTGCCAAAAAAATCACACAGTAAGTCAGTGACAGAGGCTAGAAGAGAATCCAGTTCTCAACTGCAAGTCCTGTGCTCTATAAACTGGCCAAGCTGCCGCTGTGAAAATGAAAAATACAGTAGCTAACATTTTTGTTTCTTTGAGCAAAGAGATGAATACACCAAAATATTAATTGTGGATCATGATGGTTAATGACGAGAAGTTAATTAGTTTTCCTTCATTCATTCTTCTATGAACCTCGTGTATCTTGTTGGCAAAGTTTGAAAATGAGCCTTGGCCATATATGGTAAAAATTTCAAATGGGCCAAATGTAGATGTAATTACAAATAAGAATGATTAAAAACCTGAGACTATAGATGCAGACCAAGTAAATAGCACTCAATAAAAACCACTTGTGACATAAACAGGCTCCAACTTGGAAGGTATTTGAAATGCTGATTAGACAGACTGCAGCAGGCATCAAAACAATTTTGAGGAATCCAGGAATATCCTGCCTTAGATTGTATCTACTCTGAGAAATCACAACGTCAATGGGACTAGTCATATGCATAAAGTTAAGCATGTGTGTCTTTCCAGGATCGGGGACTAAGGCTTAAATGGCACTCTGCAGGGGGTTTGTCCATGCACAGCAAAATACGATACCAAGCTTGAAGCTACATAACCGTCTGTCATACCACAAAGCTGTGCAAAACATTGCAAAACTGTACAATGCAGCAGGTAGAAATTTTGTGTATCTACAGGGTGGTTAAAATTAAAACCCATAAGTTGCGCAAAGCAATTGTGCAACTTCACAGTGCCATATCTAAAGGTTCTTCCTTTTTTTCCTGTCTTTTAAAAAACAAACAAGAAAATGGAGTGCAAAGGTCTAAGTTAATGCAATGCTAAGGTTAGAATTTTAAACATGAGGAAATATAAAAGCCAGGGTCTTGATTGTACTGTTAACAGTGATGTACAAAGGAAAGGAAACTGGATGGATATCCTTTTGTTTTGGAAAGCCAAAAGGTGGGTTGGTTTGTTTTATTTTTTTTAAAGAAGCATTTTATTCTGTTTTTTTGTTTTCCTTAGCAGTATCTGGAATGTCAAGTCTTGTCTTCCTCGGTTTGTTGGAGGTCTCAGAGGTGTCAGATGTGCATGATGAGCTCTCTCACTCCTTAACTGAAGGGACAACAATGCTGAATCTTTAACAAACAGATCCAACTGTTTGTAGGGTGTTTGAGTAAATTGGTGGTAACAAAACAAAGTTTCACTTCCCCTCTTAATTAATCTGGTGTCACTTGTCTGATATCTATAGCCCTAATCCCGCAAACATTTAAACACATGCATAACTTCACTCATGTGAGTGGTCCCGTTGACATCAAGTTATGCACATACCTTTTCAGGATCAGAGGCCTGAGCACACTACTAAGTTCCCCACTTGCACATTTCTAATGTAAAAATAAATGGTATTTTTTCTCTTGTTAAATCATTCAGGTCTTCTTTCTGATCATAAACACAGAAAGGCATTGCATCAGGGTATATTACACATAGGGTTCCAGGCAGGACTATGATGGGAGGCAAGGGTTAATGGATAAGGTTCAGAAGCAGCTGGAGCCTATTAGCCTCCCAGGAAACCAGCCTGAGATACATAAGAGAAGGAAGACTCAGTTAGGTGTTGGCTACTGGGAGTCCTATTCTACAGGCATGGCAAGGGAAGTCAGCTGTTTTTGGTAGAGCCTCTTAAAAACAATCTGTGAGTTTGTTTGCCTTAACCCTGAAGGTAGAGGAAAATCAGAACCTGTATTTGTTTCCCTTAAGCAGGGTGGATTTGATTTAATTTAAATCACTAGTCAGGAAGACTTGATTTAATCATGGATTTCTACATACAAGTGCATTCTTGTTGGTTGTTATAACCTTAATACATATTCTTCACAACTCAGAGATAGATGCAGGTTTAATTTTTAGAAGGTACACACTATACATTTTTTAAAGTGATTTATTTTGAAAACTTTTCAGATTAGTTTTACAGCTATATCAGAAAACGATTGATTGGTTGGTTATTTCATTTACCAAAGGTAACTGAAGCAGATATTTATGAAGTCATTGGGAGGTGAACTATCTCCACTTCAACAGGTTAATCATTAATATTTGGAGGATTTTCTTGCCATGCTGTATTAGGAGGAGAATATCACCAGACAGACATTTAAATTGTTTTATTTAACTATTTCTCACCTCTATATAATTTATTTAAAAGCATTTTTGCTGTTAATAAGCAGGTTACCTCTGGTGACACAAATCCACAGTTTGAGAACTGCAAAACTAAGCATCTCTGATGGTATTTCTAGACTGAGCACTGAGTCCCATTGGGTAGATAGAAAGATTAACCTAAATAATCTATACAGAAGCCCCTGGAACCCCATAAAATTGGGTCCCTAATCCATGAACTATTGGAACTCATTTACAAAACTTTTCTTACACATTACATGAATATATTGTCTCATATTATGGAATAGGGATTATAATTCTATAGTGAGATATCTTTGAGCTACAATGTATCTTAATTAAAACTATCTTTAGATATGCTTTTTGAGGAAAAAAATCTTTTATCAAAAAAATGATTTTTTTAATTAAAAAAATAATTGACTTTTATCCACCCTGCCCCAAAGGCAAGGGGATTTGAAGACCTTTGTTTACATTGACTCTGAAGAGATGATACTTTAGGACTTTTGGTTGTAGTTTGTCCACAGACAAGTTCCCTCCTTTCCCTTTGAAAAATCATCTTTAACTTGCCCCCACTGTTAAGAAGGTAAATTCCAAGCAATAAAACATAAACATACACTGTATGAGTCAAGGCTGCTGTGAGACCTTGATTTTTGCATTTTCCGGTATATTAGTTCCTAACCTTAGTGTTGCAAAAAACCTGTGTAATGCAATTTAGAATCACAGAATTGTAGGACCTCGAAAGGTCTTCTAGACCAGTCCCCTGTACGCAAGGCAGGACTAAGTTCTAGACCATCCTTGACAGGTGTTTGTCTAACTGGCTCTTAAAAATCTCCAGTGACGGAGATTCCACAACCTCCTTAGGCAATTTATTCCAGTGCTTAACCACCCTGACAGTTGGGAAGTTTTTCCTAATGTCCAGTCTAAACTGTCCTTGGTACAATTGTAGGTCTGGGCTACACTATCGGGGAGGTTCGAACTAAGATACGCAACATCAGCTATGCTATTCGCGTAGCTGAAGTCGAAGTATCTTAGTTCGACTTACCTGGCCGTCCTCACGGCGGCGAGTTGACCGCCGCGGCTCCCCCGTCAACTCCGCTTACTCCTCCTGCCGAGGTGGAGTACAGGCGTCAATTCGGTGATCGATTTATCGCGTCTAGACGAGACGCGATAAATCGATCCCCAATACATCGAACACTACCTGCCAATCCGGCGGGTAGTATAGACGTACCCTAAGCCCATTGCTTCTTGTCCTATCTTCAGAGGTTAAGGAGAACAATTTTTCTCCCTCCTTCTTGTAACAACCTTTTATGTAATGGAAAACTTATGTCCCCCCTCATTCTTCTCTTTACCAGACTAAACAAACCCAATTTTTTCAATCTTCCCTCATAGGTCATGTTTTCTAGACCTTTAAACATTTATGTTGCTCTTCTCTGGACTTTTTCCAATTTGTCCACATCTTTCCTGAAATGTGGTAACCAGAACTGGACACAATACTCAAGTTGAGGCCTAATCAGCACAGAGTAGAACGGAAGAATTACTTCTCGTGTCTTGCTTACAACACTCCTGCTAATACATCCCAGAATGATGTTTGCTTTTTTGCAACAGTGTTACACTGTTAACTCACATTTAGCTTGTGGTCCACTATGACCCACAGATCCCTTTCCACTCTACTCCTTCCTCCGCAGTCATTTCCCATTTTGTATATGTGGCAGCTGATTGTTCCTTCCTAAGTGGAGTTCTTTGCATTTGTCCTTATTGAATTTAATTGTATTTACTTCAGACCATTTCTCCAGTTTGTCCTTATTTTGAATTTTAATCCTATCCTCCAAAGCAATTGTAACCCCTCCCAGCTTGGTATCGTCCACAAACTTTATAAGTGTACTCCTCTGTGCCATTATCTAAATCACTGATGAGAATATTGAACAGACCCAGACCTGATCCTTGTGGGACCCCACTCGTTATGCCCTTCCAGCTTGACTGCGAACCATATGTGCACTCCCTCCAGGTCTTCACCTGAAGAGCCTTTGGAAGCATCAGTTGGGCAGTACTACTTGCAGGAGCATATTACACTTGTGCCCCAGATGCTGCAAAGGCTTATGATGTATTTTAAATACAATTTAAGGTATTGGCCTCATAACACTTGTTTTTTGCTTATATTAGAAAATGCCTCACTCTGAGGTGCCATGGGAGTTGAGGCCACCAATCTTTGCCTAAAGTTTGGGGGACTGGTTTTCAGTGACGGACCCTCAACTTGAACTTCTCCCCTGTAGCACAGATACACTCTTAGTCATAAAGAGCAGGTTGATGACTTGCAGGGAAAGCTGGAAACCCTGTGTTGGAGGGGCTGAGTTGAACAGGAGAGGCTGACAGTATTAACTATTGGCACCGGCCAACTTGAATAGCTGTTGAACTGTAAAATGTAATTTGGACCAAGAACTTGTCAATTATGAACTAAAATGGGGGATCTTGTCACTCCAAATCACCAACTTTTCCTATCAACTGACCAGGCTTGCCAGCTCTTGTTTTTTTAGCATGAGTTTATATTTGGTTCTGAAAGCCTCAGCTCCTGGAGTTGGGTGATAATTGCAGTTTGTTTTTGTTTTGTTTTTTAAAAGCAGCTTCTAGCTCATGGTTGCAAAGAAGTTTGAAATCATGAACTTTAAAGGCTCAAACAAGGCAAATAAAAACCCCAAGTTTATTCAGTTAAAATCTCACTGGGGTGGGGGTGGGGGGAGCCTAACCATGACTTCTGAATGCTCGGAGTTAGCAATAGTAGGGCTCTTGTCTTAGAAGGTTTTATCAATACATCATGCAGAGTCTGACATTATCTGGAGACTAAAGAACACTTCACTCCTGATTCTTTTCAGAAACTCCTGCACAGGAGTAGGTGACAAAGTCCCTGGTAGCGAATGCTGCTAGGCTAGCACGTGTGTAGAATGTGTTGGGGCAGTGGGGTGTCTCCAAACAACTGCTGCCAATAGCCGGAGCACACAAACCCAACATAACCAGCAGGAGTCACCTGAAACAGCACGAAACAGCATTTCATACCCTATACAGCTCCAGAACTACTGTTTGAGCCAAACTTCTGGAAACAGTCTCTTAAAGGTTTCAGCTCTGCTGGATTCACACTGATGCCAGCAGCCTGAGTATACTTCAAGTCACTGTTCTCTGCTTTCTTGATGCTACTTTCCCCTCCTTCCCCCCCCCCCCAACTTTGGTCCCAGGCAAGCCACACACTTCTGCTCCAGGACCAGCCCTCTAAGGGAGGGAGATTTGCACAAGAGATACTTCTCATAACTGGGCTACAAAAGCTGCTCCTCTACTGTAGCATCACTCTGCTTCTGCCAGCTCTTCCAAAACTGGAGCCCCAAGGAACCACCTTCAGGGCCTTTCACTACAAACTAATTTCATCACTTCTTCCACCACTTTATCTCTGGAAGCCTGAATTCAGTCACCAACTAGTTAACTTTGGTGTCACAACTTGCTTGTTCTCATGTGTACTACCTGCATCTATCTCTTTGACCCCTGCCACTCTTTATCCTTCCCTAGTGCACATCTTTCCCCACAACCACTTTCCTACCCTGTGTCTTCCTAACAACCTGTGGTGCTTGCACACTATCCAGCCTCCTTTACTCCAATCACTCCAGTTCCATCAGAATAAAACAACCCAAAGTAAAAGCTTTCACTCTTTAAGAAAAGTTAAAATGCAGAACCATCGTGGCCTGCGTCTCTAACAAACGGAAGCAACCACATGATCTTATCACTGTAATCTTTTTCTTGGCTTCTACCTCCCAATAAATATTGTTGCCCTTGCACTTTAATAGTAAGTTCCTCCAGGAAGGGACTGCATCTTATGTTTGCAAGGCAACTGCACCCTTGTTGTGCTGTGTAAATAACATATGGGGGGGGGGGGTGTCCCCAAGGTGAAGTAGGAAGAATCCTGCCCTTCATATGGAAGGGGAGTAGGGTAGTGGGTGAGAGGATGTGTGGGCCAGGGTAGGGATGAGAGGGTCTGCCCCTCACAGCTTGCATTGACACTGCAGCGCCACCCATGCAGGCAATTGTAGTGTGGGGGTTTAGTCAGGGCATGCCATCTAATCCTACTCGGAGCAGGTCTAGAGGACACAGTGACTAAAAACATGGGTGGCAGCCCATGCCTTGTATACACAAGCAGTCACACGATCACTAGCCCTGCCTGGTGGCTGTGCACTTAAGGGAGAATTCCCCCAAAAGTCTAGTGTACACAAGACCACAGCGTGGAGGTTATTGCTAAGGAGGATTTCAAGGCTGGTGGGTAGCTAATGAGTTTGCTGGATGGGGATGTCCTGCCTTTTGCTAGGAAAAAAGCAGATGTGCTACTCCTGGGGGGATAGAGGGACAGCACATCATTGGGATATGCTTCGGGGACTGCTCTGGGATGGGGTGTGGGAAGGAGGTACGATGGGTAGGACAGTGCGGGGAGGGGGGAACGAGGGGAGCTTGCTCTTGGTGGGCTGGAGCAGCCACTCACAGAGGGGTTGAGGAATAGTTGTCCTTGGTGGGAGGGTGCTGGGGTGGAGCGGCCCTAGGGACAGGAGGGAGCTGACCCTCATGGGACGGGGCTGTGGGTGGTGGAGCAGCCCCGGGAGGGGGATGTGGCAGGGAGCTGCCCCCGGTGGGACGGGGCTAGGGGTGCTTGGGCAGCTCTGAGGCGGTACTGGGATGAGGGAGAGGCAGCCCCCGGGGGGGGCGGTGCCCCGCCGATGGGCGCTGCCCCGCGCGGGGAGGGTGTCCCTGGGAGCGCTGCGCTGCCCCCTGGCAGGGGTCTCTGGGCCCGGGAGGGGCCCCCTGTGCCAGCCCCGCGGGGGTGAGAGTGACAGCGCCTCGGGACCTGGGCTGTTCCAGGCCTCGCCTCGCCCCACCCCGGGGGGCTGCCGGACCCCGAATACAGCAGGTACCTACCTCCCGGGGGTGGGAACGGGCCGGAACACCGTCCCGGAAGCGAAACCCCCCGAGCGGGCCGCACCCCGGAAGAAAATTCCTCCCCCCTCTCCCAGTTCGTATCCCCCCGCCCCCCGGTGCCCCGGTAAGGAGCGGCCGTACGTCATGTGACCACGCCCATTGGAATGTGGCCGCCATGGCTCTTTGGGGGTGGAGACTGGCTTCCGTCATCGTCATTGCTCTGTCCTATGAGAATAGTTTTGCGGGGACCATGATTGCCGCTGCATTGTCACGTGACAGCGTTTCGAGGCGGACATATATACCGGTGGCACCGCCTCCTTCTTCCCTTTTGCTGAGCCGGTGCGTGCACTACAGTGGTCTGGTGGTTGGGTGAGTATCGCGCGCGTTTAGGCCTCTCTGGCGGCTCGATGCTGATCAATGCCGACTCCATCGCAGTCCCGACGCGGTGTGGTCCCCCTCTCGGAGGGGCTTTGCCGCCGATGGGTGCGGGCTGAGGAGGATGGAGGTGGATTGTCCAGCCCCCCCCCCCCTCCCCGTGTGTGGGCTCCTGCTCCTCGTGAGGCGCGAAGCTTAGGTGGCTTCATTGATGTTAATGGGGGACTCGTGGCCCGTGAGCTCTGGCCAGGTCGGCGCACCACAGGGCCCCTCCCCCAGCGTGCAGCGCTGCCCCCCGTCGGCCTCGCTGAAGGAGGAAGGTTGCATGCTGAGGGTTGTAGTGCCCTTGCGCTTTTCTAAGTTGGCGTAGGGGTGGCTTTGGTAGGCGCCGACTTTGTGGGCATCAGAGGCCCTGCATTGTAGGGTTTGGGATTGGACTATGGGGTTGCACGTGGTGCAGTGTTAGGTGAGTTGGACTCTGCCCTTAACATCTCCGGACTGGGAGGGTCTTCAGCAGAGCATCAAGTGACTCTAGTGTAGTGGTTTTCAACGTCTGGTTCGCAGGTGATGCCTAAGATTTTCAGAGGGGTCTGCACCTCCATTCAAAATGTTTTATGTTGCTGCAAATGAAAAACGCCTGCTAGTAGACCTGCCAAAGCAAGTCTGGTGGGTGTGTGTGTGACAGTCCCTGACTCTCAAAACGCAGCCCATTGCTTTTCCTAAAGCTGTTCAGACACAGAATTTTTAGGCCTGAACTCTACCAACCAGCAACTTGTAGGAATAGATCAAAAATAGCGTTGTGGCCCTGTTCCTGCATTTTATAGTGATGTGTAGAGTCCGATGTAAGCTCGTAGTAGATTAACAGATCTTGCCATAGCTTGGGTGCCCATTGGTAGCTTCTCAATAGGAAGTAGCTTGAGGAGGGCTTGGTCTTTCTTCCAGTCTGTATGGTGAAGGTGGAGATAGAACTGGAAAGATGTAGCATCAGTGTAGTTGGAGGGTGGAAATGCCCTTAGAGTAAGTTGGAAAGAATATATGAACGTTGCATGAGAACACGTGGTGGAAAGTGTTGAATCTTTCCTAGTGTAATGCTATCTTCAGTAGTAGGAGAGCAAGCAAGTCTTTGTACAAGCATGGTTTTTCCTTAGTAATAGTTAACAGGTCCCAGATTTCCTTTTTTTAATGGGATAGTGTCATGTCTCAGTGCAACTTGCCCTCCATGTACGTGCACATGATGAAAACCATGTTGGTAGGGACATCTGAGAGTATGATGAATACCAACATCTCTGAGCTGGACATGGGGTATATTCATTGCTGTGCAATGGCATAAATAGTTTGGAGGTAGTATGTTCTAGTCCAGTTTAGACAGGCAAAATCAAATTGTATTCGTGATTGCCTGAGTGTAACTAGGTGCCTCTATAAAGTTATAATTGCATTGTAGAAGGAATGGTGGGTAATCATTAGTGTCCCACTTGGGGGGGGGGGCTGTATTTTCTTATTGCAAAAAAATTATCTCGTTGGCATTAACTGGCCCTTTTAATAGTCTGAGATCTAACAATAGTGCCTACAGAACAGGTTTAAATGAATTTGTAGTAGTGTGTGCTGTCGCTGTTCTGGAATAATTGCTTTGGAGTCGTATTAGTCTTGCACCTTTTGTCAACCTGACATAAAATTTTCAGACTATCTAGGTAGGCTTTTTTCTGAAACTGAGGGAATTATGTAACATATACATTATATCTTCTGTTTTTAGCCATGATACATCAAGCAAGTTCTTCCCTCGCTGGTAACTACAAAACTGGTAGGTACTGCTTTCTAACTGTAGGGTTTAATTGGAGAAAAAGTACTATCTGGCCTAGTACAGATCCACTTGAAAATGTCTGGCTTGACTCTTTTCAAGAAATCTGGAGTGCCTGCTGATCTCTCAGGAGGTGCAGGGCTAGTGTTGCTCCATGAATCGTCCAGTAGCTGTTTATATAGCATGTTGCTCTTAATTGGCCATCTTCTATGGCTGCATGGGCAATAGGACAATCACTTCAGATAGGCCTATAACAAAAAGTTTTGAAGTGAAAGACTGCGCTATTAAACTGAACAGCCAATGATGCTTTAAAGATAAGAGTAGTGGACAGAAGTGATTTCTGAGAACTCTATTCTGAGGCTTTATTCAGTGCCTGTTATCTTTGATCTCAGACTTTGTTTTACCAATGCCTGATTCGGTTTCTTTGTTTCTTTTGTTAGCAGACAGAGACCTGATGCCACTTGCTAAGGTAAAATCATTTTTTAATTTTTTGCATCATAAATGAGGGACAAAGTTACTTAAAGATAACTAAATGTAAATTACGGTCTAGAGGCCTTATTTTTTTAATCCGATCAGTACGCTAGCTAAATATTTCCAGCAGCTAAATACCAGACTTTCCCCTTGTGCCAAAATGATGACACTTATTTGCTACTCTTGACAAGAGAATGATGAGAGCTCTCAACCACCTGTATTTCAAACTGAGGCACAACACTGTTGGGAACAGTTTCATCTATTGATGTCTGAACCTGTTTCATAACTCTCCTCTCTTTTCTCAGGTTTTAATGGAGGAAGTTGGAAGCCCCATAGAAGGAAGATTCTCCGGTAAGAAACAGAATAACTCCTCTTGGAAAAACATATCCATGGCCCATTAATGGGTTTCTCCTTTCTTCATGGAGCTGAGGCAGTGCAATGACAAGGATGGTTATGGAAGATGTTTAGAGTTCTGTGTCTGCTTAATACATCAGAACAATTCTAACTCTTGCTATTACTCAGTTTCTTGGATTGTCTTCTCCGGTTGAGTAGCTGTCTCTAGAGCATCTCTTCATTCAGAGCCACTCCTGCCTTTTGGTAGATCACACTAACTAAACCAAACTCCTTATTAGAAAAATAGCTTAGAACCAGTCTCACCAAAGCCGATACAGTGATGACAACATAGTTCAGCAGAATGCACAGTGACGAACACAAGCTTTGTCTTTCGCTCCCATCTGATGTATCTGGCTATCATGTGATCCTCCCCGATACATATTAGTAATGGTAATGGTGCCTAATTTTTCCTTTTCTCTTCATATAGGCCTGGAAGATGAATCCTGATGATGAAAGGTAAGTCATTAATTTTGACCTGGGCAGGTTGTTCCTCTGGCCAAAACTGCTGATTAAAAGTGATGTTTGGCTAGTAGATAGTGTCTAGGGAAGAAATCAACTCTAAAGAAGTGGCTTATTTTTGGGCTGCCCAAGTCTTTCATGCACCTCAGACAAATTTAGAAGTAAACTAGGAAGTAACTTGACTTGCTCTGTATTTTCAACTGCTGTTCTCTCTTCTCTCCAGTGGAGGCTGTATATGATAATAACATAGTTCAGCAGATGGTCTGTGAAGAACATGCTGTACTGTCTCTTGCTCCTATCTGATGCATCCTCCAGTTGCTTGTGACTTACTCTGGCAGCTAGTTCACAAGGAAAGCTCAGGTCATAAATGTGCTCTCCCTTTGTCTACCAAAAAGTGCTCTGAAGACTGGCTGACTTACGGCAAAATTTCTTTTTTTGCTAGTCTCTAGTAACTGGATTAGAGAGAAACTCTCAAAAGGGGGAGAGGGGAGAGTCAGTTCCCACAAACCTAGAAAAGGTGAAGCACAGACTATATTAGGGATAACTTGGTGTAGAACTTATTTTTGTGCTTGGATACTATTGATCCTAAAACGCATTAGATCAAATAGCTTGGTTTAATACACTTAAGTCAATGGATGTGCAGTAGCTTTACAGGAAATGCTATGTAAAGCCACTTCTCCAGTCTGTTTTGCCCATTAAACTAGAACAGTTAGCATAGTAACATTACAAATCTATCTAAGCACTTCAAGATAAGACACTTAAGTATGTCTACACTACAGCGTGTTCTACGTTGGTAGAAAAATCTTTTGTAGATAACCACCGCTTCTGAGGTGGATTAAGTTGACAGAATCTTTTTTTGTCAATCTAGCTGCATCTGCGCTGGGAGTTAGGTCTACTTAATTTCACAGACCTGAGTGATGTAGTTATGTTGACCTCTGTTTTAGGTGTAGACCCAGCCTAAATGTCTAACATGCTGGTACCCTGCTGACCGTATTGTTTTTGTGGTCGTCCCCCTCACACCCCAGGTCTGTCTTCCATCTGTTTTGTTTGTTTTGTTTTGTTTTATTCTTACATTGTTAGTTCTTTGGGGGAGAGACAGTCTTTGTTCTGTCTGTACAGACCCTTGCAGAAAATTGGTCTTTGTCCATGATTGCTCCTAAGTGTTCCAGTAATACAAATAATAATAAATAACTAGTGGTATGGGTACCATAAATATCTCTTCTTTACAGGCTGTGTTAAATAGATTGGCTTCGGATGACCACCTGCCTGATGTATGGAGATAAAAATTCCAATTTGAACACAGTTCCATAATGTTTGCAGGGAGAGTAAAGCACAGGACACTTCATACAAAGGTAACTTTGGAGGACACACTTCTAGTGTAAATACATATTTCACACTGTCCTGCAGTCACCTATTGAATCTGCTTTACTCTTGCTTCTGTCCTATTGATTGAGTTTGAATGTTGGCAGTAGGAAACCTTAGACCTTTCAAAGTGAAGCCAGGAGGGGGAAAATATATGGAACAAACAAGAAATGTAGTATGTAAGGTTGAGCTAATAGCATCTGATCCTGTTAGACAATTTTCACTAGGATTCTTCAAATGTGTACAATGAATATTCTTATAGTATTAAACCTGCTCTACGGGGGGCAGAAATCCTAAGACTGAACCATGACTTGGAGTACTGGGTTTAATTCTTGGCTTTGCCACACACTCCTTCAGTATTGGGTAATTCGCTTCATCTCCCAATGCCTTGTTTCTTCATTTTATGGATGGAGAATAACTTTCTCTGGCCTGTCTGTTGAAAACGTAAGCAGTTCAGAACAGGGACTGTCTATGGTGCCTAGACAATCCCTGGTAGGTTAATGTTTTTAGAAAGCTGATTTGCATTGTACAGTCATATGGTATACAACCTCTGCTTTACATTGCAGCAGGCGTAGCTTTAGGGGAAGCGGCCACACCAGTATTTTAATCTGGCAACTAGGTTTAATTAGATTGCCAAATGCAGAGTACATTTTTATCCTGCTGTAATTGTAATAACATTAGAAGTTTAACATGCTATTGACTAATTGTGGGAACTGTCTGGTTTTTAAAATCTCTGTCCATAAGACTAAGAGGTGGCACTGGCAGATGCAAGAAGCTGTTAAGTTAGTCAGGGTTTGCTCCAGAGAGAGCCCTGTCCACCTTTATTTGGGTGGTGGGCTGATGTGATCTAGGCCTCCAGACTTGTCGTCTTCACTGCAGAGTTAACTTAGGGGCCACACCTGAGTAAGACCCTAACTGTTCACTGTCCACCTGTGGCCTGAGTGGTGGTACTTTACACTCAAGCTAGTGTATACCCTGGGACAGGCCAGCTAATGCCTGAGTGCTGCTTATCTCCTTGCTTTGCAGTCAAGACTCAGCTAAATCAGCTGAGTGCTGATAACCATCCAGTGCCTTCCCATAACTTCTACCCTGTGTGCTCAGGACAGGCAAGTTCTCAGACAGCTCACTGAGCAAATCATAGCCATGGGATATGCACCCAAAAGTCCTAGCAACACACAAGTGGATGCAGCACCAGTGTGGACCAGTAACTAAGATATGGCTTTGCAGTCTGGCTGCTTGCACCCAGGCTAAGCCAACCTGGGTGCTCAGACCCAACTGCTGATCACCTGAGTTACTTCATCAGTGAGGAGATGTACCCAGGAAGGGGGCAGTAAAATAAAGAGCTCCTTGAGAGTCTAATAGGATTGGTGCAGGATTCTTAGGCAACTACCCATCTCCTAGGTTAGAGAGGAGGATGTCATGTGTAATGGAAAACAGGCTGTCTGTGTACTGTAGATGATGATGAATCAGGTCTCTGATCCTAATGAGGATAAAATTGACTAAACACTGATACAGTTGTATAATAATTAAATACTATAGCAGCTTATTATGAGCTCCAGCTAATACCAGCTTTCTCTTGCAGGCTTCCAGGGGGTGCTTGGGTATCCTGTAAGTACTGTATTTTTAACTTCATGGGAATACTAGAGTAACTAGAGGTGGGAAAGGGATGGGTCTAGAGTATGCCTCTAAAATAATAAGGTTCTAGCTATAATCAGAGGATCTGTTAAAGTATATAGAAATATCAATGCTGGTTGCTTATTGCACATCACATCCTAAAATAGTAGAGGGATGGGGGGTCGAACTGGCAGAGGGCCCAACACTAACAACTTACCTAGTATCAGAGGGGTAGCCGTGTTAGTCTGGATCTGTAAAAAGCAACAGAGTCCTGTGGCACCTTATAGACTAACAGATGTATTGGAGCATAAGCTTTCATGGGTGAATACTCACTTCGGGCGTCTGACGCCCGAAGTGGGTATTCACCCATGAAAGCTTATGCTCCAATACATCTGTTAGTCTATAAGGTGCCACAGACTCTTGGTGGCAACTTGCCTAGTGTAGCAAACATGTACAGCTCCCATTGACATGAGAGAACCGTTTCTCATCTGATACTCCACCACAGCCTATCCCCACCACACAGATTTTAGTTAAAAACAGTTTGTTGCCCAGTCCATACAAGCAGCCTGTATGATGAGATGCAAATAGACTGACTCAATCATGGAGGTCTGTAATTAGCTCTATCTGATTTCAGGCATCTGGCTTGGATTTTCCTGTTTCATGGTTGGTTGTCTCTGGGTTGTCCTGACACTCTGCTTCATTCCAGGACTGGGGTGACTTGGATGTACAGAGTGCTGTTATTAGCAGTGGTAAGTCATCAGTCTGCTAGTTTTGCTTTGGTTTTAACTTCGCTATTGACATAATGTAATAAATAGTTCGGTTCCCTGCTACAGTCTGGTGTCCAGGTGCTGGCATCTAAGGGTCTCATGCATTATAGTGGAAATCATACTAAAGTTCTTAATGTAGAATTCCTGTGAGGTTTCCTGGCTTGTCCTTTTTCCTTTTCTGCCACAAGATTTCAGGTACTGTTAGCCTGCAGGGCTCACTTAAGGATAATCCAAGGTAGTGCTTCACCAGAGACTTAATGCTTTGTTTTGAGACCTGTGGATAAACAGCCACAGTGGATTTTGAAGACTTGTGTTCTAGGGAATCGTGGAATGTTGTAGGCTAATACACATAGCAGCTGTCTCCTACAGGGTTTATAATGATGTTGACAAATGTCTGACCTGAAATCAGTATGTGGACTACTTCATTACTGAAAGACCCTGTAAATGAAGTAATACAGAAATGAAGACACACTGTTTTACTTTATGCAGAATTGCTTCCTTTTTACTCCTGGAGAGCTGTCAAAAAGAAACTAATGCTCTCACTTCTGCTTGTTAGGTCCTGGCCCTGTCTTGACTAAATTTGGGTGAGTATGTATTTTTGTTTAGACCAATAAGTTGTTAACTTGTAGCTAGTAGGAGCATTGTTGTAACCAGTGATGAAATTAGATTCTGCCAAATGAATGTCCGTGATATTACTCCTTTCCGTTCCATTTACTCTGAGGTTACATTCTTGCTCTGTCAGAGTTCGAAATGGGAAAGGCAGTGTGTCCTCTAACAATGACTGGCCCAGAAGCTTGGAGTGGAAGGGATTTTAAAAATGTACTGAATACATGGAGTGTATTGTGGCTTCTCAACTGTTAGAATACTTTAACTTGTCCCTTTTGCTCTAAAGGGTACCAGTTTAAATGACACTTATGTCTGGATGAATACCTCTCAGATGATGGGGTCTGAAACCTCTACTGCTTAGGATGGGCCAAGGAATGATCTGTTCACCCCCTTAAATGATTAAATTAACAAAGCTTTTTAAAAGCTGGTTCATACTTCACTTGATCACTTCTGGTAGTCTTCCACACTGTAGATCGAGGAAATCTAGTCGAGCGGGTTATAGTCTAGCTAGTTTGGGTTACTAATTCATGTTATAGTACACTTTAAAACAACTTTCTTTTCCCCCATAAGCGTTAATATTAGAAGATGATGGATGATCAGGACAGCATTTCAAGTGAGAGGTTTGTATCTTATTCTGTTCCTTTTGGGTTATATGTGGCAAAACCAGCTGGGTTTTAATCCTGTAAAAGTAACTGCATTGTGTGATGGAACCAACCTTTCGTTGTTGTGCTTGTATGAAGCTCAGTGGCTTCACTTAAATACTATAGTTTTAAACTCTGATCCTAGATACAGATGTGTACTACTGTCAAACACTAACACTTTCAAGAATGCGGAGATGTGTGGTAGGTGCGCCTCTAAACAATTAAGGAGCAAGCCCTTGTTCCAGTTGTAAGATACTGGGGCTTTCAAAAAAAACCTCAGTTTTAGCCCAGCACTGTTCTCACTATAGTCAGTGGGGGTAAACTCCCATTAACTTAAATGAGAGCAGAGGGGGGGCCAACACAGAGCACTCACGAAAAATGTTAATAGGCTTGTAAGGTGGGACTTACCCATCTTGAGATGCTCCTAAATTTTCTTCTGTTTTGAATATGCCTCCTGCACCCACTTTAACACTATGATACCACAGAAGCAACATGGGAGTAACTTACAAAAAGCTTAAATTCCTACTATAGCACTTTGGGTCACTCTGCGAAATGGTGATGGCAATTCTTGCAGCAGAGTATTTCATGGGATGAAATGATTAAAACTGCATAGTACACATCTGGGCAGAACCTTGGTCTCCTGGGCCCTAGCCACTGGACCACAGTGATGACTCGTTGTCTGCAAGAGTCATATATAGGTGCAAATTCGCCAACATTGATATTGGTGTCTGATTAGTACGAGACTATTCCTCCAGTACCTGCAAAATGTAAATGTTCAGAGAGGATTCTAGCTGTGAAACCAGACTGAGTCTATTCACTGCACTTGGAATCCACATTAAAATCTACTAACTGCATATCTAGGATGCCTCCCTTGCAGCTGTATGATAGAGGTTACCTTCCCCCGTGCTTTCCTTTACAACTGAACAAACAGTGTCACTTGGCTTGTGGCTAGAATTGAAGCCTGTGATGACTTGGATTATAAGAGTAGTGGACAGAACAGGTTTCTGAAAACTTCACTCTGAGGCTTTGAAACTAGTAGTATGTCTGCAGGCAGAGCAAAGAATGACATGTAACATTTGAATTTTTTTTTTTTTTCCCCTCCAGGGCTGGAGCGCACTCCTGGAAAAAGGATCACTTTGCTGAGGTAACTCTTCACTTGAACTTGGAGTAGAGTCTTTGCTCTGGTTCCCTGGCTGACAGTGGAAGCACACACTATGCTAGATATGTGCCTTGAATAAAGTGTTTGCAGCCATTATGAGCTGCTCTGCTTTTTAGAGTTAGCTCTGGACAGTTGCCAGAAGCTGGGAATTGGTGACTGCAGATGGATCACTTGATTATCTGTTCTGTTCATTCCCTCTGAAGCACCTGCCATTGGGCACTGTCGGAAAACAGGATATTGGGCTAGATCACTAGTTCTCTAACTTTTTGAATTGGTGACCCCTTTCACACACAAGCCTGAGTGCAACCCCCCCCCTTATAAGTTAAAAACACATGTTCAAATATTTAACACTATTATAAATGCTGGAGGCAAAGCAGGGTTTGGGGGTGGAGGCTGACAGCTCACAACCTCTCATGTAACAACCTCATGACCTCACCCCCAGTTTGAGAAC